AAATTGACAAAGGGTAAAATATCAATATCTTTGAATTAGTATGGCGATTAGTAACACGAACTACATACGGTTTGCTTCACCTGTTTACGATAGTCCTAGGGTATTAATGAACAAATCTGAAAATATTTCATATTTTAAAAAGGTAGATGCATTGTTTTCATGATTGTATTTCAACTCCATTGATTTCCAACTATGAGTAAAGATATATTTGATTTTTCAATTTAGATCACTTCAAGCAAGTTTCATTCCTTTGTTTTTTTCTAAAATATACAATTATTTAAGTGACTAGAAACTTCGCCTAGCCAATTGTCTTAATCGAACTATTACACGCTGTCTAGCTTCGCGAAGTTTTGTATTTATAAGATCTGAGCAATATACGCTGTGTTCGAATCAAATTCTGCTGAATCTTTTTTATTCAAATTTTCGTTATAGAAAAAAAAACTAAGTATACTAATTTGAAAATGAAAGTGTTGATCATTTTATAAACAGTAAGCAAAACGAAGGTTTTTATCTGATTGTATTATCCATTTTCACGAAAACTTGGCAACCGCGAAAAGCCTATAACATATTCCACATCCGTTGACCTTGAAGTTAGATAGTGTTACCACCAGTATTTTGTCTCATTTTAACAGCAACGATGTTTACATTCCTACAATTCAGCATTAATAAGTAAACATATTCGGCCTTTTATTTAAATGATTGACTATTAAATATTTATTAATTTTTAGGCTAAGGAATTTTCAAGATTTAATGAAACTTATGAATTTAATCGTCAACTTTTTAATCATGGTTAAATCAACGCCAAGTCTGACTGCATGAAATCGACTAAGTGAAAAATATGATCCACATTCTACTTTGTCCACGCCAAATTCGACGGGAGAGATCGGACAAAATTTGTAGCATATAGAGATCTTAATTTTAGTAAAATCGTTTCAACGAGCATCAGGCGAAATTCGTTCTTGAGATCATCGCTTCGCATCGCATTAAATATAGTCCTTTTCTCCAGTTACATTCTCAATCGAAACGATGAAATCATTTTACTCTATGAAAATAATATTTGACTTATCGATCATAAGTTATGATAAAAGTAAACACGCAGTGTTGCGAGTCTAATAAATTGTGTTTTATACAATGAT